GAAAAAAAAAAAAAAAAAAAAAAAAAAAAAAAATTAGTCTCAGACTGTAAAATCCTAATAGCAACAAGGCACATTTTTACCATGAAATAAATAGCCAATTATTGATCATGAGCAGAGATACAGCAATGATCTTCTCCAGCTTGCTTTGGCTGGGCCAGGGAGTTCTTTGTCTCCACAATGAAGACTAGACTCAGGAATCATCCTATCTCGGTTCACAATCTTTTTGTCTGGCTGAAAAACAGTCTCCAGAAACATGGCAGCTTCTTAGCTGGTCTACTCTAGTGTTATATCTTCTTTCTTCATTCACTGGATTGTGTTTACTACTATTGACACTACAATAGAAACACAACCCTGAAAGTGTGAGCAGAGTTCTATTCCAGCTCAAATCCTCTCCCCATCATCATCAGCCAAGTTGATAAAAAAAAAAAAATCCAGACAGCTTCAAAAATGTAAAACTATTCTTTCAGAAGTGTCACTTGCAATAGCAGCACATTTTAACAAACAAACTCACTCTCAGGATGCCAATTTTACAGTTACTTTCCAATGGAAATTAAGTTTCAAAACACATGCTAATAAAGGTAGAACAAGTAATATTAGCACAATAAAGGTTTAATTTACAGGAACTATTCAGTCTATCTATCTGGAGCCCTCAGGAAGAAAATAAGAACCCGATTTCTTCAAATCCATATATCAATAAAGAACATTTTGCAATCAGTTGTAACAAAGCTACATTTGTTTTCTAAAGTTGTATTAATAAGGAACTTGTTGCTCATGCTTCTCCAGCCAGCTTTGCTTTAAACAGTCCTTGTAAGAGAAGTCAACCTGGTTCCCTTCATAAGTTTAGATCCAAGGAAATTGTTCTCTACCACCTCAATTTTTACCCCTGTTTAAAATGAATAACTAAGGGAAGTAGGTCAAAGGGTAGTTTATCAAGGCTGTTAAAAAACAAACCAACCTAAAAAACACCACCACCTTGAAGTGCAAGTGATATTAAAATTAGTAGCTTCTGCTTCTTCACTTTGGCACAAGGACTTCTACTAACGTTTCCTGCATGCTATCATCACTGTGAGCATTCAGATGTGAAGTTAAATGCAAGTGAATTAGATGAGAAGGTTAACCAAGTATATAAGTTACCACAGAGCAAGAACTACTTTAAGTGTATTTTACCTGTCATTTACTAGCATAATGCATATATATTTTTTTCTAGTTTGGCACAACCTACAGGCACACACACACAACCAAAAATGAGCTTAATTTACCATGCAAAAATAGCTAAAACAGCTTCTCAACTTGTAAAAGTGCTTTGGTATGCCCTCCTCCAACAAAGGAAAGGCAGGAAACAATGGGTTTTATAGGTCAAGCAAGCTTTAGTTTTACTGGATCACGGGTGAAGCAGATTCCAGAGCTAAGGCTCTCCCCTGAGAACATCTCATCTCCAGACTATAGATATACGTGACCGCAGCCGCTCTCACAAGTCACAAGGAATGCTTTTGGCTTGCCTCCAGCATTGGCCGATGGCTCCTTGCTGCTACTTTCGCTACTAGTGTCTGGAGTCTCTTCTATTTCTTCCTCCTCCACTACTTCTCCCTCCTTAGAAGAGCCCCGGTGTAGGTCCAGCATCCCCACGCTCCTCAGATCCATACTCTCCTCCTACCTCCGCTGGCCATCTTTATGGCTGTCGGCCGGCGTCTGCCGATGATGTCATCAGCCGGCCTCAGCTGAATAAAGACGCGGCTAATAAGTTGCGTGGGTTTCTCTCCATGCTCCCATAGCAACGCAGCTCCGGCGGAGGGTAAAGAGTTTTTCCTTGTTTTAGCATCTATGTTCATTTCTTTTTCTCTTCCCTGTCTTGCCTGCCTCCTGTAGCTTTCTTTTCTTATTTGGGGTCCTTCCCCCCAGTCTCTCCCAGGATAATATACAAATGTAGGGGTTAGTAGCTCCAGTTTTCCAGATTCTCTCTAATGTCAAATTAGGCACAAAGGACATGCAAGCCTCTGCAAGCACTAAGTATAAGCCATAAAAGGCTTTACTGATTAATACCAACACCTAGAATAAAAACCTGAAAAACTGTGAGCCAGCAGTCTCTGGTGCATAAGTGGAGCATGGTTTTTTTAATCATCAGTGAGCAAGAAGCCATATCCTGCATTAGCTAACATTTCCAAATGGTCTTTGAGGACAGTCTTGCACAGAGAGCACTCCAATAATGTAATGGCAGTATCGTTATGTTGGCAAGCTGACAATCAAATGTAGACCTCAGCACTATCTGACTTATGCAATTAGCTACATGTCCCTTTTACAGTGCAATCAGGTTAAAGACAATATTTTTGTCACAGAATCATAGAAGATTAGGGTTGGAAAGGACCTCAAGAGGTCATCGAATCTAGCGTCTCTCAATGCATGGGTCACAAGAATATATGAAATGGCTGCGAACAAACTTAAAAAAATGGATCAACAACTTTAAAAATGGATTCTCCTTTAAGAGAGAAAACTGCGGGAATTGGTGGCTTTTCCCTTGGAAGCTGGCAGAGTTGCAGCCTGTGAGGGGCTGCTTGGGACCCCCTCATATCCTCCCCCACACTGGGGGGCTGGGGCCTGGAGACAGGGAGCAGAGGGTCGGGAGTGAGGGGCACTGGGTTGGGACAAGCTACTGATGTTTACAAATAGGTCCTAGTACAAAAAAGGTTGAGTACCAGTGATCAGGTACCATTCCCAACTATATCATCCCAGCCAAGGCTTTGTCTACTTGGCTCTTAAAAACCCCTAAAGATGGAGACTTCATTCACCCTTTTAACTGGTAGGCCAGACACTGATGTGATGTACAGAGAACATACGATTTTAATTCAAATGGAAATACCCACTAAAACGGTAACTTTAGTGATAACATATAACCATTTAATATTCTAAAAAGCTACCTAACCAGGTAACCAGCTATTGTAGATGCAACTATGAATAGTACCAAAACATAACATGTTTATAAATTTCCATGTGCTTCACATTTTACTATTATAAGACAATGCCTCTCCTAGTTTTCTGCATTTTCAAAGGAGAAATAAAGGAATTAGGTTCATAATTTGTTCACATTTTCCTACCCTATCCCCTGGCAATTAACAAGATCCTTTTGTTTTCAGAGTAGGTTTAACTCCAAAGTACTGCACATCCCAACATACGATACTTAGTATGTATTCACATTCTTTGATGATGGCACTTACCCTAACACTTCTCAAGAGACTATATTTCATATCCCAGAATGTTCCAAGTGCAGCCTATTCATAACCACCGGCCTAAACTTCTCCTTTTACAGAATACTTTGTGTAAACAAAAGTCTCCTCTTATCAAGTAATGAAAATGCTTCATCTCCAATAAGACGTCTTCCTGCTACCTGCATATCACTCTCTCCACGCACAAACCAACAGTCAGCTCCATAATAGTTTTTCAGCTAAATAAAAAAGGGGGGGGGGGCGAGAGTCTTCTCTCTGTTTTCTGCATTTTATCTTTCTGAAGTCTGGAGTCTCCTCACATATGTTACAAATAACAGTGCCCATAGTGCTTCAATTAAAAGAGGCTTTTCAGAGGCAACCCTGCATACATACAATAAATGTTCTACCTCTGGAAAGCTTCCCCTCTTTAGAGGCACAGGGTGAATGAAGTCTCTGCCCAAACTGAAATTAATGGAAACATTTCTATTGTTTTCTTTCTTTGCTTACTGATACCCACTTCAACAGTGTCACCACTAGTCAGTCCTTCAAACCATAAAAATTCTAACCAGAAAGTCTGAAAGGGTTTGTGTGTCAAAAAGTGCTCTGGGAAGGGATCTGTTATTTAAACCTTGCATATGCCTTTCACATCAACTAACTACTTCATTGTCCTCACTGGAAAAATCTGTTGGCTGCATTAAACATAGAACATATGGCTTTTAATTAATATAGTAATACTGGGAAAATATAGCAAAAAGCATGGAATAGAATAAAAATGGAAGCAAACAAAACACAGACATTATGTGAAGGCTTAAATAGGCAAATAAGTTCTCAGGAGTGGTTTTACTTTATTTATAAACAATTTATATTGTATTTGACATTACATTATTTACAACTTTATGAAGTTCTGATCTTAAAGTTTACACTAAAAGGATTATAAAGAATGGGGAAAAAAGTAACTTTTGATCATTCAAACTATAAGTATAATTTTACTGACAAGATTTGATCTTTTTCAGAAAATTTAGTGTGTTATTTGTTTTTCCAAGCCAACATTTGGCTAAAAGACTGTCAAAGAATTTTCCTTCAGCTATCACTTAAGTAGTTTATTTCACTATCTCTGCAGGTGAAGAAATCTACCGCGCAGATTCAACAGCAGGATCTGGGTGACAGTATTTCCATTTAAAACTGGAATGGTAAAACTTTAGCACTGTGACAGTTTACTTTTAACCTAACCCATCTTCATTCATGCTACATGCAGAGCTCAGAAAGTACCACGTAAAAAAGAAGTTTCAGAAGGCAGTGGTTTCAGAAACCAAAAACAGCCCTTTTAAAGTACAGATATCCATGTATCTGGATATTACTGACTCCCCTCCCACCCCCCCTTTTTTTTCATACAGACATCCTAGAACCGTGTAATGCCCCAGTCCTACAAGCTCTTTGAATAACTTCACTTCTGCGGAGTTGCACAAAGAGCCTGTTAACAGGGCCAAGGGATGAAGTGCAAATGATTCCAGTGAACGAAGCAGCTTTCCCGCAGTTACCAGCCTATCACTGCTCAGGAAGGCGAAGCTTGTTAGCCGTATTTAAAGACTGCCTGAACACTCAGTGCTAAGTCTGTGTTTCCTTAGGGTTGAGGGAAGTCTCATGCAGGGTTTCATTATGGGAATGATCCTGCCTCAGGCTGGAGGTTGTGCTCGCTGACCTCTGGACATCCCTTCCAGCCCTGCTTCTCTGGGATCCAGTGCCGCTTTACATCGACCACAGCTTCTTAATGAAAGCCAGAGGACCCATTAACAGGATCACACGTCCCTTCCAAGCCCATTACAGAGCAGGGACCAGGGTTGGCCACGCCGTGGAGCCCGAGCGCAGGCGGGTCGCAGCAGCCGCGGGACAGCTCGTCGCTTTCACGCCTAGTTTGTTTTTGGGGGGTTGAGCGCGGAAAAACCGCAGGGGACGTCCCTGCTGCCCTGG